TTCTGCACAAAATAATATGTTATTTTATCTCGTACGGCAGCGTATTTTATTCCGACTAAAAGGTCTATTACGTAATATGTTTCCAGACGACATAAAATAAAATTATTATACTTAATAATGTATAAAATACACAATAAAACCATTCCGTTCAAAATCTGTACTTGGTTTTCTGAGACCATTTATTATGGAACGTAGAAATTATTTTTATACATAGAACATTTTTACTGTTAAAAAAATACATAAATTATGCATAAAAGCTTTTGTAATAAATTAACATTCGATTACGGTAATAAACGTATATTTTGTTTTACCATTGTGAATAATGGCAACACACACGTTTATTGTTGAATTTTAAAATAATAAAGTTAATAAATACAAAACGAAAAAATACAAAAAAAAAGTGCGTTAACCACGTATAAACATTATTAAATGGTATGTAACAAACATTAGTTTATCGATTTCTACACATTATTAATTATATTTAAATAGGTCTGTTTGTATACTCTTACGCATGTTATTATTTTATCGCAATGATATTCAAGCGCGTATAATAATGCTCATACAATTGTTTGATAAAATTATTAAACAGTATTATAATTTATATTTCATGTGTACTACATTTTGTCGAATATTCGGGATTGATTATAACGTAGGTATACCGTTCGGTATAGTTACCCGTTGGACGGAAAACGTTTCGATACTAGTAGTAAGTCGCGGCCACGTAGTACAAATGTGTACGGTGACTTAGTATTTGTTGTTATTTCGAATGACCAAAATAATTCTTGTGCGACTTCTGTTGAGAGACGGCAAACCACTTTATTTAATACACAATACATATAATCTCTCGGAATCTAATAATTTTTCACTTTTAATCGCGCCGCGTATATTACAGTAGGTGCATTGCATACACGCATGAGTGAGGGCGCGCGGGGCTGGTTAAATACATGGTTGAAGGGCGGCTTCCACGGTAATGATAGAAAAAAAAAAAAAGAAAAGAAAAACATACACAAAGTAGGCATATAATATATTGTGTACTGCAGTGCTCGGTCCGTCGTCTCGCAGTTGTATACGTATAAACGTGACGCAGTGCGTTTTCCCAGATTATTAACGAAAAACAATTTTCGATTTGTCCATTTGTGCCGCCACCGCCGCCGCCGCCGACCGATCCGTAGGAACGAGAGAGAGAGAAAAAAAAAAAACAGCTGCCGACTCCTCCTAATTACAGAGCCGGTCTTCGTCGTCATGTACTCGGGAGGGATGGTTGTTCCAAAGTATATTACATACGCGTATTGGCTACATGAGCTGCAGCGGCGTGCGTCCTCGCGCTAATCTTGCGATGATGATTTGTTTACTTTTGGCGGCGCACTTTTCGACGCTAATCACGACGCGCCCCTATCTCGGAAAAACGAGAACAGCATTTTGTTTTTTGAAAAAAAAAAAAAAACACCGCCTCCTGGTTCTCTCGCAGGTCACCGTCTCGCCGTACGGTAGGTCGTGGCAAAATACGAAACACTATATTATTACATTACATTATGCGCACACGGTCAGTAGGTGCACAGGTATGTGTGTTATATGGTGCGCGCGCGCGCGCGCGCGGTATATAGGTCTGTAATTATTGTTTTATCCTCGTAAATCCCATTCGGCGGTGGCGTTTTTCGTGATGCCGTCGATGCGCTTACATTCTCTCCGGGCCGCCGCGTACCGCCCACTAATTACATTTGATCCGCACGCCATACGCCGCGCGACGACGATGACGACGACGACGATAACCACGACGGCCCGACGTATTACATTATGTTTTATTTTTTATAAGTATAAAAAAAAAATCAACAACGCGCACGTTATATATATATATATTATATTGTGTTACATTAAAGTAGTGCGTATATCGCGCGTATACTCTGGGCGGTCCGGTTTTTTTTTACCTATTTTTTTTTTTTTTTTGTTTTCGCCACACGTCATTTTTTATTATATTATTACGTTATGTATTACATTAGCGAATATCGTATGGAAAAAAACCGAAGTTTTTTTTTTTTTCTGTAAACGGACCGACGGCGCGCGGTTGTTATGACGGAAAGGTCTTCTTTATTTATACACGTACGCACTAGTGGTAACTAGTAGATCCGCCTGTCGCTGCCACCGCTGCTGACTTTTACGACCACACCGGCCGTCGTCTCCCCCGTGACAACACAATTATTATTATATTGTACCAATATATTTATGTGTACGCCTCTAAACGCGGGATACCGAACCGCTGCGGATCGGAGAGACCACCGCAATTTTCGCAAAGACCCGTTTGTCGGCGGCACGTCTCTTTGTCGTAGTCGACCCGTCTAAACCGCCGTCCCTTGTCGTTATATATGTGTGTGTTTTCATTTCTCTCGCCTACGACGCGAGGGGCCCACACGTACGTTGGATACGTCCAACAGACACCGACGACGTCTCCTAACGCCATGTTTACGCTTGTGTTTTTCGCGTCTGCCCGTTTCTCAGTTCGCGCGCGCGCTCGTCGCGTAACACGTACCACGTCGTACTCACGAAAACGCGTTCACAACTCTCATAATGGAATTTCGATTTTTTCTTCCTTTTTTTTTATTTTTTTCCATGTATACATATTCACAGATACTCCGTAGTGAACTGTTATAAAGTCCTTTTTCGTTCGTAATAGAAGTAATAATAATAATAATAAAACAGGTGCCGTAACTCGAGAAATACCAAAACTCGGTTAATTGGCGGTTTCTATACGCGCGCATACACGGAGAAGTTTATTTTATTCGACATTTCCCATGGACAAAATAACGCCGTAAAAACACCATTAGTCGTGGTTAAATAATGAATCCTGTTTTAAATAAATTACCGTATTTTAATAATATTATAAGAAATTGATCTATAAACAAAAATGTGGATTAACACTTAATGACATTTTCTGACGAAAATTACTATTGTCTGACATTATACACACACACATTTACTCATATACACACTCATTATTACGTGCGTTCACCGACCGCCACTGTGCTTCATTTACTATACACATGGTATACATTATGTGATTTATATATATATATATATACGAGCTCGCGTATATAAGAAGGAAAAACAGGAGTATTTATACGAATTTTTTTTTTTTGACACGAAAAGTTCTAAACACGCCTTAAATATATTATCTATACGTATTATCTGTAAATAATTAATATAATATTACGACTGTAATACAATTCGTCTATGGGTATACAAAATATTTTAAATAATTTATCGCAGTGGTCAGCCCAACCTGAGGGTCATTACCTCCCAAGGGTGTAAATAGGATTTTTTGAGGTGTAAAGACTGGACTAATTTTTTTTTCATATGTACTTTTTACGTCTTATTATAATTATTATTATTGTTTTATTATCTTAAAATTATATTTATACAATGTATTCTCGATTATCTTCTACGAAATGAACCATTTTTACATAAGAACAAACAAAAAATAAAAAAATAAAATGTTTCTTTACATAATATCTATATATATTTGTTACGGATAGTGTTAGGAGTAACTCAAGTTTAGCCGGCTAATCTTAATATTAGCCAACCTTCGGACACTAGCCATAACATATCCATCATTGCGGTTCCATAAAACGGTCTAATTTTGGTTGCGATAACCGACGACCTGATAATGCAGGTTTTACGTTGAGCCTGATACACATGATTTTTTAGCGGGCAGGAGTATTTACTAATCTTACCTGGTAATAGTCTGGAAAAGGTTGAGAACTGCTGATTTATCGATTTGCCATAAATAAATTCGTGTCGTTACGCATTTATCAATTGATGGAAAACAATAAATTATATCGTACCATACCTATAATAGGCATCTAGATGAATTTCCACGTATAGGTTAATACTGCAGTTGATTGTTGATTTTTTACAGACTATAAATAAAATAATCGGTATAACTATGTGTAACCCTGTTAATCGATAGATGCGTTTGATCTAGCGCGTGAATTTATACGTTCATATGTGTGTATAATTGTTGTTATGTAATTAATTATTTTATGAACTAGACGATAGTCGGAATATATTTCAATCGTTTCGATTCCTTCAGGGTCGCCGACGGTGACGGGGTCACATGAACGACGACGCATCTTAATAAATATAAATACAATAGCGCGTGTATGTATATTGTATTTATAGTCGACGGACACTTTGATATTCGTATTCGTGTTACGATAATAAATATCGGCGGGTACTTAAAAATAAAGAGAAAAAAAATAATACTACTTGTATATAATAATATTGCTTTCAACGCCAGCGACAAGGAAAGCTCGTAATTTCGTCGCGCTCGTATGAAAGGGACGTACACTGTCGTCGTCATATTGAACATGTATTTTTATACATATAAATGTACAAATCTTTTTTTTTTTTTTTTTTGTCATACGACGTCTACCGCGTGTTCACATACACACACTTCAAGGGTACACACACACACACACACACAGACACATACACACATACACACATGTATATAGAATAAAAAACCTAGTACGTATATATGTGGTGTACGTATGGGCGTGTGTAGACGCGCGATGATCTCGAAATGAATACAAATCGTACATCCGTTTCGGGTCGCCCAGTGCGTTTTAATATCATACGTATATATGCCGCCGCCGCCGCCGCCGCCATCGCGTCTCGAGAGCGTTGAAACTATTGTGTGCTCGGCTAAACCGGTGCCGTAGTACGTAATGTATACCGTACATTCTTTACTATCGCAAACACACGTGTATAGTCATAAGTTCCTTCCGGCTTCATTTACGTGTGCCCGTTATCTCAGCAACGCGGAAAGATATCGAATGTCCGCTTGCGTGTCTTCTTGCGGGAGGTCCCTTCGAAGAGATTGCTGCTCGGCGCGCGCGCGCGCGCGTGTACAACAACCATGTTTTATACAACCATTGTTCTTACGATGTCTTACGATATCCATGCGTATGGTAATTTATTGTTGTTTTTTTTTTTTTTTGTTACAGACGCGTGTTCGAGTAGGTCGACGCCGAAACCGCGACCCTTACAGCCGACCGCACGGCCCAACATCACCTTCCACACGTATCCCTGTCCGTCGGTGTACGCCAAATGGTATTGTCTCAACGAGGCCACGTGTTTCGCCATCAAAATAGGCGAATCGCTGCTGTACAACTGCGAGTGAGTATGATTTGTGTAATACGTGTATATATAACGTTACAAAAACAATAATTGTTTACTTTTTTCGATTTTCATCGATAATATATACTCGTGGTGGTGTGTATTACACAGCGCTTTTTCTGTATACGTATTACACATGTAGTGTACCCAAGTGTCTTGCGTTTTTTCGATCGCCGGCGCTACTCACACGCGCACTCGTTTACATACAGGTATCGACGTATTGTACGTACGTACGTACATAGATTTACACGTATGACAACGAAGAAGGGGGTGTGCTGCTGCGGTGACGGTGGTGGACGACGGGTTGTGCACGTGAAGGTGGCAGTGGGAGGGCGAGTAGTATGTATAGGCGTTATTAAATGCGTGTGTGTACTCACATAATCCCCGGGCCGCATTGCGGGTCACGTATCTGTTTAATGCCCAAGCACGGATATCCTTCGGACCTCTTTCTCTTTCTTGTACAACTCATACGAATCGCTCTTGTACGTGTGCGCCGTCTGCGTGTGTGTGCGCGCGCCCGCGCGCGCGCGTAGCAGTCGCAAATATTTCAAAAATTCCGACCACACACCCAAACCCGTCGCCGCCACTGCTGCAGCTGCCTCAATCACGCTCGTCGTCCGCGACGACGTCTGGAAAATTATGTGTGTGTCTGTACATGTAATAATAATAATATCAACGTTATTTACGTACTACGCGTCGCATAATATACCGTGAGCCTAAAACTTTTTCTGAAAATCCATTATTGACCGTAGTGTATAAGTGCTAAAAACTCCCACGCGTAACTACACTTTCCAAGATTCGTTTGAAATGAATCGTTTCAATACGCATATTATACTGCGCATAAACGTCATCGAGAAGGTATAAAGTGTTGCTATAATAAATGGAGAGTTGAAACTCTAAAAATATTAATAATATGTGTGAAACAATAATATATAATATGTTTTAGTTTATATTTAATTTTTACAAAATTATCCTCTAAAAGCTAAGTTTGTGCCTAAAGTTCTTTATTTAATTCAATTTTTTTTGAAAATATAAGAAAAAATAATTAAATGAAAATTATCGATTTATATTAGTGTGTAATAATAATAATAATAATAAAAAATAAATAAATCAAATTTTATATAGATCTAGGTGTTTTACATACATTTTATACTACTCAAAGCCTTTAAATTGATTAATATTAATGTTGAATGAACGGCATGAGTTTAAACCTATGTATAAAATACTTTTATGACCAAATACTTTTTTAGGTAATTCTAGGTAAATTTATATTAATATTTTTCTTGTATTTATTGATATGCTCTATAAATGATCTATTAGTAAAATCAAATGCTTATGTTTATACAATTTTAAATTAATCATCTTTAAAAATATGAAACTTTTCCAAATTGTGCATTATGACAATAACAGTAAAACTAAAATTTGAATAAATAAGAGATGTTTCGGAAAAAGTTTTGACCACCAACCTTTGTCATAACCATACGTCCTTGTAAATCGACTGGCACGAACATTGTTTCTATTTTTTGACCTTTATATTATTTATATGTTTTCGTACTCATCGTTTGTGCGATTAATCGTTTTGCATGGTTGGAAGGTAATATATTGCTAGTGAATACGCATGTATATACATATATATATATACAAATATACCGTTGTATATATATATATATTTAACTAGTGAGATTAAACTTTGGAGTTAAACGCTCAGAAATAGTTGATTCAGGCGTTTAGATGTTAAAAATAAACGTACGACATACATCGTATTATACATATATCGTGCATTGTAGTCATTAATTTCTGTAACGATAAGTCGATTCGTATTATTTGTGTATATTTATACAAATCTCAGTGTCCCGATATTTCTTATATTTTATGAACCTTGGAATAGAATAAACAACCCGTCGTAAAATAGAAACGACATAAAAAATTTAAAAAAAATAGTAATAACGATTAAAAGTTTCTAATTAAATTTCAGTATTAACGTAAGACGAAACTTTCCACGGAGAAATCATTTTGCCTATTAATTACGATGACGCTTAAAAAGGAAAAATCCATTTGAATCACTCATGCATAAACATATTTCTGTTCTCCGTATACACGTATGTATTATATGTATATATATATATAGCCGGAGAGAGGAATACACACACACGTGCATGTTATACTCGTATATGTTTAACGTGGGTTTCTCATGCGTTAGAAAATCTACGCGGGACGACTTCGGTACATTATGCACTCGTAACGTACTGTGTATAAAGAAACGGACGGACGGTTCCATAAATCTCCGGATAACGTTCAAAAATTGTATACGTTTATGAAATTATTTGTTTACTCCACGATCGTGTTTCTACACGCGCACGGAACGCTTATAAAAAAAAAAAAAAAAATCGGATTGACGAGACACGTACCGGTGGCCTTTGAAAGCAGATATTATTTTATCCGCGGCTAAATCAAACGAATGACTCGTTAATAAAATCGATTCGGTACAAGGTCGAGTGCGTACCGCTGCAATGGATATACGGCCATTGTATTGTAGTATTTCTCAAGAAGTAGCGTACATTTTGGCGCAGAAAGCATATTGAATGTAATAATGTACGCGTTCATGTAGTACCTATAATACGTCTATATGTATGTAATTCCGACAAAACAAAGTTATCTCGGTGGCTTTTTAATTGCTATTGGATTTATAGCTGATTCGTTTTTCGGCGGATAAGGAGTTAGGGTCGAACAAACGCACGCGAAAATTCGATATTGATTATAATTATCGTATGATTTGTATACTAATAGTTTGGTATTCCTTGTTTCAGGTGTACCGATGGTTACATGGGACAGAGGTGCGAGTTCAAAAATTTGGACGGCTCGTATACGAGTAAGTAAAATGATTCATCTATACGCGCATATGATGATATACTCCGACGCTTCGTATACAAAACGATGTTTTACGGTTTCTGATAGACTAAATCCGTTTTCCGGCGGTCCGCGCGCTTGTTGTATATGAGCAGCGGTTGACGGACATCGTTATTTTTACAAACGGTTTCTTTTTTCCGAAAATAATTACGACTAGGCGGCAGCGCGGAGATGACAATAAAAATCTGTGCACGAGTAAATCAACACGCGCGAAGCCTACCGATTTACATTTTATTTTTTTTTATTTTTATTATTATTACTATTACGACTGCGATTTGGGTACCGTCCAAGAAAACAGACAGTTTATTAAAACCATCGTACATACGCGCGCGCTCATACACATACACACAATATATTCTTTGTACCGGGTCCTGTAATATATTTCCAAATTGTAAAACAAAAAAACTATAAAACGTTCTCGTTTCTAGGGTGGTCGACAGGCGGCGGGAACCGACTGTTAGGCGGAGGTGTGTGGGGGGGCTATAGGTTATAGGTTTTTGACGACATTGTTTGATTACCGTCTGCCGATATCTTATTACTGTCGCGGTCACCACTGATACGCAATAAACGAAACGAGTAACAACAAATCCGCGCGTGGAAGCAATGTCATGGAAGAAAAAAGATGAGGAGGAAAGCAAAAGTTTAATGTGTGTGTGTATTTTTTTTTTTTTTCAAAAGAATCCGGTACTTTTCTCTCTCTTCACGTCCTCGTTCTGGAGTTCGCCACATTTATATTTGATGTATTATTGTATTACGTACGCGCAACGATGATGAAATACCGATGAGCCGAGAAAGAGATAGAATGAGAAAGAGCGACTTGATCGTCCGAACTGGCCTGCACTAAACATGAATGAGTCGTGGAGGTACAGAACATACACACACACACACACACACTAATGCGCGTACGCACGCACACATACACATAAACACGCATATTTAAACGTATATAATGTATAATGAAGTGCACACATACGCCGCACTAGTGTAGGGGGAGGCAAAAAAGAAACGAGACTGCATACCAAACTTGTGTTTGGTCTGGCATACTAATGATTTATACCAGGCATACGCCATCATCCCTCCTCCCTGAACCCGCCAGACTTTTTAAAATAATAATAATGAAAAAACGACGCATATAAGACATAATATGTTATATACGTATACGTTGTACATACGTATGATTTTCTGTTATGCATTCGAGTAGTTATCACTAAAATTACACTGTGGTATCGACATGATTATTTATACTGTTTTTTTTTTCAGCTGCCCGGCGACAAGTCATGCTAGAGTCAGCTAGTATAGCTTCGGGTGTCAGCGTGGCCGTGCTGCTGGTGTTCATAATTTGCACAACGTTTTACATCAGGTCCAAAAGACAGCGAAAACTTAAGCTGAACGCTACAGACGTTTCGTAAGTTTTTCGATATGATTGCGTTGTTTTTTGAAGTTTTCATAGTTCGTGGTGTAAATAATTTCTCTCTCTTCGCAGAATGGTAGACGGCAAATGGACGGACGCGGATAGGCGACCGTTTTCGTATCGACCGAAACACACTATCGTCACAATTCCTTTGAAGACAGTAATCACAGTGAGTGTACTATTATATGTTTATTGCACGTATAAGAGACATTATTCAATTATTGAACACCTATATAAAACCAAAGAGAACAAAAGTTTTTTTTTTTAGTTTTTTTACGAATAAAACCCACGCACGAATTTTATTTTCTGTTTTTCGTTTTTAATCATTTAGTTCGTCGTCGATTATTGTTGTTGCACACGTGAATACATAATATAAATGCCGCCGTGTCTCATTTAATTAAAAAAAAAGGAAACGCTAAAAATAATAATAATGATAATAACATATACATGTTCTATGTGCCTTAAAGACAGCACCAACACAGACACAACCACCGTATACTTTGTCCAAATATGGTGCAGGCGGGTATGCTAAGCAGCACAGAGTATAGAGAAGTCTGATGCAAATTTGATCTATACATTAATATATTGTTTTTACGATCTTTTTATATACGCGTCGTTGCGTTCGTCGCCGTTCTATTATTTACGGAGAAAGAAAATATATTATATACGATGACGGCGTGTACATACAACTCATTGAAAACTTTTTTTTTTTTTTTATTAACCTCGGGAGGGAAGGAAAACGTCGTGTGCGTATTCGGTCATTGTTATTATAACTATATTAATGCATTATATCCTCTACCGCGGTAATTTAAGTACAAATCGTGGGCGAAATCATTGTAATTGAGACGTGAGGTTATAATATTATGTTAATGTCCGAGTTAAAAAAAAAAAAAAAAAATAGATGTGTCTATTATTTATGATAATACACACGAAGTGTACTGGCTACGATGACGACAGTTTATACGACTCGAAAATAATAGTACACCTAATGTTTACAATATTATAAAATACGATTTTTGACGAATTCCTTTTTTTTTTCTCTCGCAGGAACAGTCGACGCGTTCCACGGACGATAGTTGTCACCCGGAGGAAAGTTCGCGACAAGAACCTTTGATCGTATGATACGATTACACTGATTCCAATATTATTATTTTATATTCGTCGATCCGCGCAGACGACCGGCGACGATTTTCCGCTCCTCTTCGGGAGATCATTAACTACATGTACTACGCGCGTGGCGCTGGACAAAAAGCCATTGGCTCACATTCACACGCCGTATACACATACACGTAAAAACCACCACATACACAATCACTCGATGACGTCATGATAAGAGCTTACTCGGAGGATTTCAAGCGATGCGCGTGCCAGAGAAAAAAAAAAGATAAAAAGAGAGAGCGAGCAAGAGCAAGAGCAAAATTAATTGTAACAATAATACACGTAATGATTAGAAAAGAAAAATTGTTTTCCATCCTACTCTCGTTTTTCGGATTAATTGTTATGGCGCGCACGCGCATCCGTCGTATATGCGACTCGATGACGTTTATACACTGACATAATTCGACTAGCCTGTTTTGATATTAATTTTTGATTATATTAATGTATTTTTTTCGTCATCGTCGTCGCAGTTGTTCCTCTTCGGCAGCATGTTTTCCTTGTAATTTTCCCTTTCGTTTGCTGTCATTCTCGCGAAAATGTATGGAGTGGCTTTATATACAATATATACACACATATATATATATATATATATATATATATACGTATTTATATAGTTTATAAATACATATTCATAAATATATTTACAAATATATATACTTCTGTAAAAGGAGAAACGCATGCGAAGTCCATCATGTCAACGTGTTTTATAATGTCTAATTATAGAGTTGACATTTTCGTTACATTTTTAACCTTAAACTTAAATATTGATTAGAAAAAGATATCGTCCGGGCCAATATATATTTATACATACATGCATATTGATATAACCGTTTATGAAATTAACAAAAAAATCGAATCTGCGTCGTGCGTTTTTTTCGGATGCACTGCCCCCCCAACTATCCTATTTGTATGTATTTGAGTGTGTGTGTGTGTGTGTATATATATATATATATATATATATATATATATATAAACGTATATATGTATATATATTATTCTGTGAAACCCCTCTCTATGTGTATCTCCATCGTAATATATATATATATATTTTTATAATTTTTAAAATCATTGTTTTAAACTGTTGTGTTTTTGTCCTTCCGTACGTATTATACTATTAATTTAATAGGCTGTCAGTTTCCCTCCCCTCATTGCTTACCAATGCGTAATGAAATATATAACTAAACAAACCGATTGTATTTTGAAAACAAGAATTAATATTGTGAATACTTTTACAAAAACGAAATATCTTTTCAATTTATATATATATGAAAGAAAATTGTGTAATGTGGTAAATTTGAAATTTATTCGTTTTTATATTTTATATTATTATAGTTATTTATTTATTATTATTTTTAATGTAAATTATTGCTGTTATTCTCTGTTAAAAAAAAAAAGTAGATTTGTATTGTTTTTTTCGAGAGCACTTACCACCCATCCACCAAATGATGTTATTATTATCAAATTTAGCTTAATTCCGTGCCTCCCGCCCCACCAGTCCAGTGTGTAGTTGTATTTATGTGTATAATGAATTTTAGATACGCTAAAATAAATATCCTTTTTTTTTTTTTACATTGTATAATATAATATAATATATTATGTATTATATTATATGCTTAAACTATTGTAAAAAAAAGAAAAAATAAGTTTTTACAAAAAAAAAAAAAACGAAAAAAAACAGAGAAATCTACCAGTTCCTAATTTTTTTTATTGTAATCATTTAATATTAATAATATCAATGGTAAGAAAAAAAAATTGCTATAGTAAATTTTACGATATTTTTTAGTTATTGTAAATAAAAATAAACTCAAAATATACCAAACACTTGTTGTTACTGCACTTGCGACGGTCTTACGATGTGCGCATTACATGTCTGCGCGCGCGCGTGTACAAGTTTTGTAATTATTGTCTGTCCAAGCGCGCGGGTCGTTTCTCGCGATCGGGGAAAAAAGACGATGTCATCCGTATTCCGCTGTCCCCGTTGTCGGCGTTAACGATTTCAATCGAATTAAAAAAATTGGCGTAACCGAGCGTTGTCAATTGTTTTTTGGTTTTTGTTTTTTCGCTACGATATTTTCACGCCGGCGGCCGAGGAACGTGTGGATTTACCCGTGTTCGTGCGATTGTCGCCCGTGCACCAGTCCTCGGTCCGAACGCGCGCGAAAAACACGAATGCCATATGCGCGCGCCGTTAGTTGGCGAAAGTTCTCTTCACTGCACCAACTAAAACCAAAGCCGTGGAGAGAGAAACCCGAGCCGGGGGGGGGGGATCATCTCTTCTTCTCGTCAAGCCTGATCATAACAACACGTGTTTTGCGATTGGGACTGCGGTTCTAAGTCGTCCTCCTCCGATCCTGCAAAAATAAATATTGGACCGCAGCGGACAACGACAACAATAGGTACGACACGTTTTCACGACGAAAAAAATCACGTTGTTGCTGTGCGGTATCCGTCGTAAAAGTTTTCGCCAAAAAATCATCGATACATCGTTACCATTGTCATCATCAATCACTATGGGTTTTTAAGTATCACCACAGTGTATATCGTAAAATAAATAATTAACGGTTCAATTAGTGATGGGTGATTTACTTTGTGTGACTTTATAATGTTTATTAACTAATTATTATTTTTATAATGCATAAAATACAATAATTATTTTTAATAATGCCATACGCAGGATTCACAAATTTAATATAATATAAAAAAGTCAATAAAATTGATCAAATAATATTAATCATTATAAATATTTTTTTATGAAAAGTACATAAAAATATAATTATTTTTTTAAATAATATGATATCGATTTTACAAATTCAAATCTATTCTTTTTCCCTTCTTCATAATTTGAATTTCATTAAAAATATATTTTTTACAAATCAAAGTTCGTTTTCTTGCTTTTATCGTTCCTATGCTTCTCATTTTAATATATACTTCAGATTGAACCCCAAATAAAACATTTAAAAAATTATTGTACTGTAGCAATATTTATAGATGACATATTAATTTAATAGTGGCCCAATTACCAGATACAATAATAAATAATAGTTGAAAATAGTAGCCCAATCACCGGGTCTACCTGTTATAAATGTAAAACTTTAGTGTCCCAATTACCGTATACCTTTTTGAAAAAAAGGTTAATTATGGCTCAATTCCCGGACGCCCTTTAGAACTTGAGAGTGCCCACTTTATATAAACAGCGCCAAAGGCAAACATACCGACTTACATTGTAAGTGTTAAGTAGATAATGCTTTGAACATTTTAGTATTATACAAATAAATAAAAAATAGTTAATATATAACAAAATATGTAGGTACCTATTGGTTGACATCGAACTTGGAACTTCAAATAATGCAGGAGAAACTTTTTATTATCCACATTAAAAAAATCGTTTATAGTTCGTTTAGGCATATTGAGTAAATAGTGATAATATTTTATACGGCTCTTTAACATGCAATCTAAGGCTCTTCGTAAAATGCATCAATATCGAGACCCGTAGTATACAAATTAAGTTATACATTATTATAGTGATAATATTTCCGAATTTTTTAATAACAATATTTATTTCAGGTTAAAATAAAATAATATTTTATTAATTGTGACCCCAAAATATTTATCTTAAAAAAAAAAGGTCATCCAAAAAGCCCACTTTCTGGACATTTTAAGGTTCCCGACACCTGCACTGGCCGCTAAACACTCGCGGACATACAGAAACCGTTCAACACCGATTGGAGTTTAAACGATTTTAACACTAGATTACTGGCTCGACCAGTCATGTTTTCAGAATCATCTGAAATTAAAATTATACAATAATATTACCGTGATCCCGTCTTGAACCGTTTCCTCGAACCGCATCGATTACAAAACGTAAAAAACCGTGTGCGACGCGGTGTTACTCAGGAAAACTGCGCCCCGAAATTACAGGTGTATTCCGTACGAGAAACGATTGGAATTCAAACCGTTAGATTAAATCAAAAATTTTAGGCGGGCCAAGACCCGCCTTGGACGCCGCCACTGCCCACTTGCTACCCCTTGGCTAGGATCCGGCACAGGGGCGTCGTCGTGTTTCACGCGTGTCGTGCCGCACAGGTGTGCGACGTGGACGAGCGCGGAGAGGCGAGACGGTGATCGCCGCGAGAAGACGACGGGGAGGGGGGGGGGGGGGGGAGGGTCGAACGTGTACGACGATCAGGCGAACAAAACGTCGTCGTCGACGGAGCGTTAAGAACGTCGTGTTCGTGGCACGGGCGGCGTTCGCCGGAACGGAAAACGAGCCCGTGTGCGGGTGACGTCGAATCATACTGTTGCCGCGTCCGGGCTATTCAGAGAAGAGAAACGAACGGTTTGCCGTTTGCCAGTGGAAATCCGTTAAAAAAACGCGCGCTCGAACGACCTGACGACGACCGCGGTGTTAGGACCGCAGAGATCGATTTCGACTGCAAGCGCACGCACGAGAACCAATCGGCAACGGGACGCGTTCGATCCGAGACGCCTGTCGCGCCGCGCACGTTGCGCTCGTAACACCGCCACCGACCGGCGGACCCGCGCGCGCTCGTCGTTTTCCGGGAGCGGCGGACGAATGCGCGCGTTCCACACGATTGACCCACACGCGTTCACCGTATCGTACACGGTATCACACGCACGCGCACTACATATTCGTTTCGGGCGCATAAAATTAACGCGGTGTCCGTGCGTGTTGTGCCGTGCCGCTGCCGATCGTAACGGACGTGACGGAACAAACATACGTCGGCGGCGGTCGGTCGAACGGGACGCGCGCGCGATAAAAACGTTTTCTCGCCGCGGCAATCGTAACACTTCTTACGCGCGCGCATGTGCCCGATTAGCTGTACGATAATTATAAGTGCAACGATGATGGCTTTCACGTCGTTAAACGAATTTTTTTTATATCGCACGTCGGCGCGCGTACACGTACCGCGGTGATGGTTTCGCGTTCGTTTTTTTCGTCGATTTCCACGCGCGGCCGCCCGTTCCCGGTGCCGGATCAACACGATCGTCCGAGAAACGCATTTTTTTTTTCCACTCCGCGACCGCGTACTATCATTCGCTCTCCCGTCGTCACGCCCCTCGATCGACATCCCGCCGGGTAACCGAGACATGCGACCGCATAGGCGTAAATAAGTGGGGTGGTTCAACTCCCCCCCTCCTATCACTCCTCCATTGTTAAACGGGATGAGAATTCGATTTTTAAACGCAGTCTGTCGATGTTTTCTACAAGGTAATTTTGTATCGTACGGGGTCTGTGTGACCGCAGGATAAGCAGATCGATGAGAGATGTTCGCGGTCCGATAAACGGAGCATTAGCGTCGAGATAATAGAGACAACTGAGGTCAATAATTATAATAACGCTGGAATTGCTCACGACAAATATCAAATAACACGCGTAATTTTACGTTATCGCTCGCTACACGATAACGCACATGTAAATGTAAATGTTTCATTCACTTTTCAAATAGTTAAGGTTCACTTTTACTTTTAACTCGATCTCTGTTGCGGCGCGTGTATCATCCGAAATATTGATGATTATCAAACAAACAAATCAAT